AGCCAAGAAGGCCAATGGCATCCTGGCTTGTGTCAGCAATAGTGTGGCCAGCAGGGACAGGGAAGGGATCTTACCCCTGTACTCGGCACTGGTGAGGCCGCACCTCAATGACTATGTTCAGTTTTGGGCCCCTCACTGCAAAAATGACATTGAATGACTCGAGTGTGTACAGAGAAGGGCAACAAAGCTGGTGCAGGCTCTGGAGCACATGGCGTACGAGGAGCGGCTGAGGGAACTGGGGGTGTTTAGTCTGGAGAAGAGGAGGCTGAGGGGAGACCTCATCGCCCTCTACAGCTTCTTGAAAGGAGGTTGCAGAGAGCTGAGGATGAGTCTCTTTAATCAAGTAACAAGCGATAGGACAAGAAGTAATGGCCTCATGTTGCAGCAGGGAAGGTTTAGATTGAATATTAGGAAGCATTTCTTTACAGAACTGGTAGTTAGGAGTTGGAATGGGCTGCTCAGTGAGATGGTGGAGTCTGCATCCCTGGAGGTATTTAAGAGTCGGGTCGACATAGCACTGGGGGATATGGTGTAGTTGGGAACTGTCAGTGTGAGGTCCATGTTTGGACTGGATTATCCTCAAGGTCTTTTCCAACCTTGTGTGATTCTGTGAAATCCTCAAGTCCCATGGACTTTGAGGCCAGATGGAATTAAATCAGTGTCTTTTCAGTCTGACATGAGGAATTCAGTCTGATTTGACTGAAGAATACTTAACTGGGCCAGCTTTACCTTTGGATTTAAATCTCTCCCTGCATATTCTTCTTTCCAGTGCTATCCTTCTTAATCCTCCAGTAAACTTCAAAATCTGTTTTTCTCTCCCTCTTACCCTGGAGGTTTATTTTACCTTTTTTCTTACTAAAGTTTTACCATGAAATACAGGACATGCCAAATATGTTGTGTCATACCATTTATATTAAATGCCGCGGAACTGACTAACTTTGGTGTTTTTAAGAGTATATTTTTAACTTGGGCTAATGACATTTGTTGCTTTTTGAGAGGACCATACACCAACCCAACCACTTTCTTTTCAGAAGTAGAATTTTGCTTAATTTATAATGCAAATTCACAACTTGAATTGGTTTATGCTTTTTTTTTTTTTTTTTAATTGTATGAAGAATTTTAAACAGTGCTGCCTGAGGGCCAGTTCTTTAACTGCTGAATATGGCAAGAGCTTTATTGAAATCAGGAGGCTTATGTGCACTAGATAAGGCTCTGTCCTCTCTTTCAAAGCAAAGAATTTCAGCCCTGATTCAGTATTTAGGGGATGATTTTAGCAGCGTGAATAAGTCCAGTTTAGATGAGGAAATTGCTTAGGTGTCTGTACACCTTGTTGAGTTACATACCTCAGACCAGAAAGCCAGTGGAGGATATTATGCATCTTAGACTCATTGCCTATGCTGTAATGGAACTGACAGCGTGATACAATATATGGTAATAAAGAGCCAAGCCTAAGTTATACTTGTAAACATAAATTTGTTAATCGATAATGAAGAATGGATTTAATTTATTTTTAAGATACTTCCAAATGCTTACTTGTAGGTGTTACATATGAGATAGATGTCACACACCTGAGGCAGATTAGTCCATACACTCACTGGAGCCTAAAGAGTGGTTGCCTGATAAGTCTTCAGATGTCTACTCTGAGATGAGCTTAACCAGTCTCCAAAATCACTCATGGGATCACAATTCCCACCTAAATACAGATGTATAGTAACATCAAATGCACCTTAGGGTTATCCTGCCTTATATATTTTTCTCATGTAAATGTATGTGTCTTAACTTTGTGCTGAATCCAAACTGACTGCCTCAGGGTATATGAATTAATGTCAGCCTCTAATGCATAGAAAAATACTATGGTATCTCCTAGGTAGGAGATGTATCTTTCTAAAATTAATCTTCCAGAAAACATTTTACATTTTCCCTGCTACTGCATCTCTCCTTTTGTTTCAGGTCTTGCAATTGCTGTCATATATGATTCTCAACACAAGCACAGAACTAAAATCTCTTATCAGCACTTTGTTACAAGGCAGAAAACCATGGTGCTTTTAAGTCCCTGAATTGATCGTGCCCTACAAACATCTATCATAAAACATTTAGTGATCAGTGTACCAACCAGTATACTGATCTACCTTTCAAAGCTGTCTTCTGTGGACTAAACCTGAGTAGTTGGTTGTGAATCCTTTATGTATGAAATTCAAGCATTACTAGCCATTATGACAGGTCAGTTAACCCATGTAGTAGATCTGTCTTTTGTGAAGCCGAGCTTTTGAAATCAGTGTGTCAAGGGTTTTTTGATTTTTTTATATTCATCCAGTATCTGGAATAGGGGGCCAGGGAGGTTGGAATCTCAGTCTTTGGAGACTTGACACTCAACTGTACAAGGCACTAAACAACTTGATCTAAGTTAGTTCTGCTTTGAGTGGGGTTTGGATGGTCTCCAGAGGTCCCCTGCAACTTCTTCTATGGTTCTGTGTTGTGTTTTTGTTTTGTTTTTGTTTTTGTTTTTTTCTTTAAACCTCATTTACTAAAGCATTCTCAAAACATAAATTAAGGATATGAACCCTGACTGAATTTTAAAATCAATCACCAAAAATGGCTTAATATGTACTGTGTTCTGATACCATTAGTCTGCTCTGATGGAATTTACTGTTGTTTAGCCAGCCAGTCCTATTCTGTGCCTGGTAGAAGCTCAGTCAGCTTCAATTCTGATCTTTCTGCATACTACATTTGAGTCTGGCCCTTCTAAATGACCACAGCACAACTGATGTTAATTTACCCATACCTGTTCAAATCCATCCTGCTTATATATTCTACTTGACAACAGTGACAAATGTGCTTTAAACTGATATGACAGCTTCATTTTATTAATTTAATAGGTTTCTACTCAGTATTTTTTTCCAGGAGCAAATTTTGGAAAAAATGAGTGGCAGTGTGGCTGGGTTAAATGTACACAAAGGCTAAATGTGTGCAAGATATTTAGATTTTGGCTAATATATTTCCAGATAGAGTCCACCAAACACTCTTTGTGAATGTCACTCTATTAAATGATGTTGACTAAAGAGTTTTAAACTTGTCTGGTACACATATAGATACACAAAAAGAAGGTTTTGTATTCTTTGGCTATGAAGAGCTAAAAACTGGGACAGCAATAGGAACTCAGCAATAAGCTGCAGTGGCATAGGTGACAGGTACAGAATGTAAGAAGGTGAAGCACTTCTCTAACACCTTGTCAAATCTCAAAGCAGCATCCATCTTTCATTTTTCTAGCAGTCAAAATGCACAAAGCCAAAGTCATGGTTGACTCTTCTGCTTGAGTGTCCTCATAAACTGTATGTGTTGGTTTGCTGGTCCCTTAAGTCCCTACTGAAGGGACTTCATCTCTCTGTCACAGCAGAGTCCTGCATTCTCTGTCCCAAAGGATACTACCTATCCAACGTCCTGTGAAACATACCTTCAGGTCAGACACATCTCTGTAGCACTGTTCAGAACGGGTATGATCAGACAGCTGCACATTCCAGAAACATGGGAGCTGGTAGACAAGGAAGGGATTTTGTTTGATGACTGCATTGAAGATATCCTAGTGGACAAAACCAGAGAAACAGTTGGGTATGTTTTTTCTACAGTGAGGTGGTCTCAACCTGTTCCTGAGCTGACTGTCCTCCCCATCACAAGTAGAAATGCAAATGGTTATGCAAGTTGAACACTGCAAATCTTGCTTTGTTATTCTGTTACCATAGAGGGTGCTATCAGTCTAAGGGGTGATGTCTAGATCTGAACAAGAGGAACAGACTCTCTTGACACACAGAGCTCATGGGCTCCAGCAAAGTTTTTAAAACATTTATCTTGTACTGCTGGCAAGAGATGTGGTTCCTATCCTAGTCACCAGGGAGAGAAAAATGCAGTAAATGATAAACTGCCTGCTGTTAGCAAGTACTGCATCACTTTTCAATAAAGGGTATGAGAGTAATCCTGGCAGTTGCACTGCTTCAAGGTGAATTACTATGTGGGCTTTTAGCCAGCACTTTATTGTTGCAAAAAGTAGTCTAGGTATTTCATGGAAAGGACATGTAGGACAGATCTACAGAACAGCCTACACCATGAGGGACAGAATGTGTTCTGTGTCTATTCAGCCATCCAGTTGGAGCAGTAAGTTACAGGGACAGTCTTGTGGTTTAGGTAACAGGGTAGGACCTAAGTAACCTTAGTCCACTCCACAAAATTCTGCCCCATGCAGGTGTTAGACAGCAACTCAGGGTCTGATTGAAAACAGTGAAGTTAGAAGAATCATTCTAATGAACGTCAGTAGCTTTTGGATCAACCTGCAGCAATACTGTACACAAGTGCCCATCTCTGTGCACAGTAAGCAGCATACTTCCTTACTGATGACCGATCATAAGCCAGATGTAGCTCAGAAGCAGCAGAAATATCTAAATATGATGCTGTATTGAGTTAATACAGTCAAGCTGTTGAGCAAGACTTATTAGTTCAGGTCCACTACTACATTAACAGGGTTTCTGGATTTAAAACTGAGAGCTGGCAGGAAGCACAAAGAGAGTAAATATGTGTTTCTATGTATAGGCACATTATTTATTCTCTTGGCCTCAGTTACCCATCTGTGGCAGGGAGACAGCAGCACTTCTGCCTTTAAAGGGGTGTTGTGGCATGGAGTGCATTAAAAGACTGCTGGGACTCATCTGCCAGAAACAGTAAAGAAATATCTGGAGACTCTTAAAACTAAAGTCCTCTTAGACAATAACCTGTAAGAAAAGACACAGTATATTTGGACTTCCAGTGTCTGGAGAGTTTTATGTCAAAAAAAAAAAAAAAAAAAGGACAGAAAATTAAAGCTTTAAAACCCCATTTATCTATCTTATGAATCATCTTTGCAGAGGAGGTAAAAATGTCAGTGTAGAAGGAGAAACCTCATGAGTAAATCTCTGTTCCTCTCTTCCATGTTTTCCCCAGAACGGTTTAACATTATGTTTACAGGCACAGTATCCTTTCTCTGCCTTTTCCCACATCTCATCCCCTTTCCCTTTCTTACTTTGCTCAATCTATGGAGTAGTGGAGTCACTCCTCTGCAATGTCCTACTCACCTGGTCAGCCAGTGAAGTGGACAGCATGCTCATTAACTCCCGCTCTGCTGTGAGTCTCCACATCTGCTCCCATTTCATCTTCCGTAACTTATCAAGAAGCAGCAAGATAACCCCTGAAGGAAAACACAGTGCAAAGAACAAGAGAAGCCATGATGTCACATGCCAGTCAAGGGCCATCCTGTCTATGTGCTGACTCAGCAGTTAAAACAATTACATGAGCTGCAATCTGTCAGTGGAAATTACAGTCCTGACCCTGTGCTAACAGAGAAGACTGACTAAAAAAAAGCTTCAAGTTACAAGATGCCACTAAGGGAAAGTTTTCCTGAATCCCTGAGACGGCAGAGAAAACATGGAGAGATAGCATACGGAGGAATGCTAGGTTATAGAGTCTTTCAAGAAGGCTAAAGTAGCCAAAGAGGAGTGAAACTAGGAAGAAGAGAAGCAAGAGAAGGATACTGTGTTTCTAGTAGTCTCCTTAACTGATAAATCTTGACTTCATTAAAACATGATTAGAACTGGGATTATTCTTTACAAAATGAACCAATACAGGTGATTCACATGATGGAGGTTAACTTAATCCAAAGATGTTACCATTACCATTCCAAAGATAGTTATATAATATTCTATAAGAAAGAAAGAAGGAACCTCTTGACACTCAGAAGTGGCCTCCCCCCTCCTTATTCTGAAAAGCTACAGGCTCCAAAAGGATATTCTGTCAAGTCACTGTCTACTAGGGAAAGGGTAGAGACAATCCTGATTTATCTAGTATGGCTCCATTTCTGCCATCTTCACTGTGAACAGAGATCTGCTTCTTCCAAAATCCTACTGTTTAAATTAATTTCTATCTGGCCTGAAATTAAGATTATGCTGACACAAAGAAAATTTTGTCACTCGTATAAAACATCTTACTCAATGTGTGTGGGGTGAAATCTGGCCCTTAATACTTACTGCATAGGATGCAATACATATGCTGCATAAGATGAAATGAGCCCTTACTCCACCTAGTAAAATGTTAATCATCTGACAGATCTGACTGCAATCCTTGGAATTTTTCTGAGTAACAGATTATTGGTGTAGGTCACAACCTAGCCTTTGAGAGTGCTTCCCATTAAGGCAGTAAGTGTTCATAGAGCAGGATCCTCAGATCAGAAAGTTACACTTGAAGCAGGAAAGGAGGTATCTTAACATACATTGTTATTCCTCAGTTGCTTTTTGTCTGGACAAAACCCCTAGTGTAGAAGAAGGGAAAACAGCAGAAGCAATGAAGTTGGATTGAAGCATCAGCAAAACCTTTCCTACAGCATCTCAGAAAATTTTACTCAAAAAAATAATTTGGAAAGACTTAGATAAGAGCACTGTCATGGGGAAGGAAGGCAAACTGAAGGACCATAAAGAAAGAGTACTGATAAAGAGCGGCCTAGCAGGTTGGCAGGAAATACCTAGTAAGAGCAATGATAGGTTCTGTGTTGTTTCACGTCTTCATTAGTGGAAGGAGGAAGTAAACAGAATAGTAATGACATCTGCAAGCAATATTAAATAAGAGATCTTACAAAAAAAAAATATCATCATAACTGTAGAGAAACACAACTACACAGAAGGATATGAAATGGCAAATAAGCAGGCACTGGGAAAAGCTGCCTGAGGGAGTCTAAGATGATAAAACTGAAGCTAAGAGTAATGAGAATAAGAAAGGAAATGTAGACTGAATACTTAAGAAAAGTTCTTCGAAACGGTCATGGTGAAATAACAAAAAAATGACAGATAAAATGCTTTATTTCGTAAGTCTTTAAAAATCATACTACACAAAGATTAGAAAATACACCTGGAACAATCCTGCACTGGTTGGGAGAAAACAAAGGTGGTACCAGTTCTTTCCTATCTTCAGTTTCTATGACATGGCAGATATCTTTCTAGTAAAACCTGGCACTCCAACGAATAAAAAGAAAACCTCTTCTGGCAATGAATTTTGTGGCTTATTTTAGTTCTGTTTTCATTTCAGTCCATCTGGTTCCCAGGGATGCTGGAACCTGTACTGGAGTGATCCCCTTTCATCTTCAGTCAACCTTTCTGCTTCCAGCTGTTGGATTGGAAAGGGGTGTATTGTCACAACATGCTACAATCTATTTCTGCCAGCCAGTTTGTTTTCTTTCCAGCATATCCGAAGCCTATTTGGAGTGTGTAGTGTGCGTGCATTAGCTTCTAAGAAAGCCACTGTGCATTGTCTGAAATTCTAGATCAATGTGAAGCAGGTTCCTTGTGCTGCAGCAATAAACTGGGTGAGATCCACTTCCCTCTGGCAAAGGATCTTTTCCAGCTGGCAAGAACTGTCAGTTTTGTTTTATAGTCAAATACAACTGAGAAGATTGTTTATTAAGAAAAATAAAGAACAATTGTAAGATTTGGTTAATAGTTTTTATAATTTGTAGACAATAAAACAATTTTTCTTAATTTTTTGAAGCTCCAGTCTCAGGAGAAGGGGAAATGTTTTAATATGTGCAGTATTCTCCATTTTTTTTGGTCTTCCACTCTTATGATAACAGTAGATTATGGCATCACAGCTGAAGAGATTATGCTGTCCTGAGGGGCTATCATGGTAGCAGCTGAGAGTAAAGGAGGCAGATGGCATGGAAGACTGGAATATATGTGAGAAAGGATGTATTAAATTGTGATGCAGTCATGCCTATTGAAAATATTCACAAGCTTTTAATGGTCGATCATCGATTCACCTACAAACTTGGGTTTAAAACAGCCTCTGCTCAGGGCCTCTCACACTGTGGAATTCTAATTTACTGCTGCTGTAAAAAATAACTACTGGAGAATATTTATGGCAAGTTTAAATATTTACTCGTTAGTATTAGGGAGGATAAGAGGTTTGTACTAATAGAAGAATTTAATACTATTCCCCTAATTAGTGTTATTTAGTGCAAAAGCATGTGTGTTGGGATCTTTTAAATAATTCATACAGAAGAAAAATTACCTTTTCTTCAGAACACTGCACTTCAGTTTTGTATATCGTTCTGTTATCAAAAGCTAACATAACAAATGAACTAAGTCCAATCTGCACAATTAAGTTTGCAGGCAAAGTGTCTGAAATAAGGAAAGGGAAATATTTGCCTCAGGAGCCCCTTCCCTCAGAGTCAAACTGACTGAAATCTTAGACTGAATTCAAGATGACATACAGCTGAACATAAGGGGGAAAGGGACTTACTCTCAGCTGCTGTGCTGGGGGAGGAAGACTGGAGAAAAAAAAAATAAAAAAATCAAAGGAATATTTTATGAACATCTGGACCCAGGCAGTGGGACTTCTCATCTTTTGATGAAAGCAACATTCTCCTGCCTTAACCTACCTGAGAAAAACAAAGGGAAAGCTTGGCAGCAAATAAACAAAAAGAGAAAAGTGGCAACACAAATGTCTCATGAGTATTAAATAAATATACTCTGCCACAGAACACCCTATTTTCCTTATCATGAGGAAACAGTTCAGACATACACAAAGATGCATATATCTCAAAAAGCTCTTGGAAAAATAATGCCTTATTACTAAATCTATGGAATGTGTCCTAGTCTAATTTTTACTAATGGCATTTTCTCTTTCTGCTTGATGAGACTTCACTTGACCTACCAAAATCTGACAGATTCTGAATTGCTCAAACAAACAAACAAACAAACAAACAAAGGAGCTTCTCAAAATTGTAATTTCAGGACACATGCAGAAAAAAACAGCCTCAAAAGTAAAACAAAACCCAAAGGAATTTGGTGAATACATTGGAGAAACAGGGCAAAAAAGTCTGAATTATTATATTTGGACTAAAATGTTTCAGTTGGGAAATACTGCAGACTTTTTTGGGGCACATTTTAAAAATCAACTTATTCTAAACCAAATGTTTTTCACATTAAAATTGACACAATTTAAGAATCTTATTGAAAATGGTTACAAGACCTGAAAAGGAAAAGATATGTTTCATTCTGGATCTAACAAAACTCTGGGAGTCGCCTGATTTTTTTGTCCTTTTCCCATTTTTTGATTCAATCCGAACAAATTTTTTGTCTTTCCAATGTTTTGACTAAGCAATAGTTTCAGTAGATGCTTCAAGCCATCTCAGCAAAATAGTCTGGGTGGTTTTTTTGTTAATTTGCTCCAGAACAAATTATTTAATTTCATTTTTCTGAATAGTAAATTGAAAGTTTGCAGAAACATTAGCAATTTTCCTTGGAATGCTACCAAGCATCCTCACCTCTTGCTTCAGGAACATGGACTATGGCTTTTCCTGAAATTCAGAGAAGAATATATAGTAGAGCTGGAAGTAATAAACAACATTTTAAGATAGAATAGAATCAGTTACAGAAGTTATAGTGAAACTGGACAAGCTTTCAAGCTCATTCAATTTATTACAATGACCCTTTTAATGTGGGTGAAAAAATACTCAGTGCTGTGGGGGGAAAAATGTAGCTACTAAGAGATCATTTTCTGTAAGCACTACCTGGCCTGTTTCTTTCAGGGACAACAGGATGCTTTTGTGAGGTGTTACGGCAATGCCATATTATGTGAGCAGCATCTCAGAGACTATCCTTGTCAGGTTTCTATAATTTCTTATTGAAATTAAGCCTATAACATTGAACTTTCTAGACAGATAGCAAGTAGATACCATTACAGTGTCTAAGAAAGGCAGGCAGGACACACTTCAAAATATATTACAAAGCAATATAGTGGGTTTTTAAAAAATTACTGGGATTTTATACTACCTAACCAGCATATCAAAGCCCATACACCAAACCACTCAGTCTTAGATGCTGTAAGAAATAATGTTAAATAGTGCTGACATAATGGAGATTTGCTGCAATAAATAACTGACCCAGAGATTCAAGGTATTACAAACATCAGTAAGCCACCATGTTTTTTGAAATAGATTTGGCACCAGGAATTTGAGTTGAGTTTTAGGTGCTATGGAAGGGGCTTGTAGCTCTGTTGTCTGAGGATAAGCGCCATGAGAGTGTTGACTGCTTAGTACCCTAGCAAACGCTTATTGTGTTCTTTTAATTCTAGCTTATTGTACCTGAAATCAATGTAGTGGTCACAGTATATAATGCTAGCAATGTGACTGTGCCTTTGCTG